CCCCAAAACCCCAAAACCCCAAAACCCCAAAACCCCTAGAGGCAATCTTTGGGTTGAATGTTACACACTGGGTATCTAGAAGGTCCCTTCGATGATTGTATCATTTCGTATCAGAGGGTGTTTTGGTCTACCTTCACAGTAGAGATAGAAGTCATATCAGAAATTTTAAGTTGTAGCAGATGAATAATAGTGTCCATCAGGTTTTCCATACACCTTTTTCCAGTCTTTATAGCATATTAGAGTCTTAAGTTTGAGGTCGAAAGGGATTTCAGGTGGGTACTCATTGTAGGCAAGGTCACAAGCACCTTGATAGAGTGTGTAAACTATACCTGTCAGATCCATCATTCTGACGTAGTTGTTCCCATCATCGAAGACGAATATATTGCCTATGGTGAGGTTTAAAAGATACCTTCAGCATTAAGTGAAACAAGTTCTGGAGAATTAAAGAGATTTGTGTCAAGTGGGCCATCTTTGAAGCCTGAGGTACCTCAAATTCCTGCAACTGTATCAACATGGGAGCTTGATAATGAAATCCTTCGAATACAGTGACTTTCAGTATCAGCAACGTATACATAAGTTGTTCCGATCACATCAGTCCCGGTTAGTTGAGACGGCAGGGTAAAGTATAAAGTTTCATGTTGAAAATTACTAATCATTTGGACATTCTTTGCATTGACAATGCCATCATTAGGGATCGTCTCCTTCTGGTTAGAAGTAAGCCCATCATTATTGGTCCTACTACTCGCAATGATTTCGTCACCTCATAGGGTATAATTATCCTTGGTCGCAAATTTACATGCAAATGTGTTCTCCCCAGCTGCTGAAGACAACGCTGGTTTTGTATTTTGAGCCCTTATTTTGTTATGACTACTTGACTTCCAGATGTATAGACCAGAAGGTTTGTTTAACAAGGACTTTACTACATTTCCGTCAAAATACCCGGAGGCTCCAAATGTTCCAGCAACTATATAGATAGCACCGACTTGTTGCCCGATATATTTGAAGACATGGTTGTTTTTGTCAGCAATCCAGAGATTGCCATCATAGTCAACTCCAAAGATATAAGCCTATTTAATCTGGGAAGGGAGAGTCATTGGCTATAACTGACTTTAAAGATCTCTCTACAGATTACCCTGCTCGGTTACCTTTATACTTGGATCCATAGTAATTGTTCACTTTGTAATAAATATTGAAAAAGCCTGGGCTCTCTAAGGCCCATTAACAGATCATCAAGATGGCTGTCACTGCCATCTTGAGCATGAATTTTAGCTCCATAAATATTCTATTTTCAGAAGAATAAATGGGGTTTTGGGGTTTTGGGGTTTTGGGG